GTCAGATAATATTGTGTCCTTCCTGTTGAATAATAGCTGGTGGTAGCTGGTAACTGTTATCTCTTGGATGTATTTTTTAGGGAAAACAAAAGATAAGAAATAGTGACAAGAGAATGCCAGATGAGATGTTCCTATTTCCAAGAGTTCCATTGGGAAGTATTTTTTAAAAAGATTAATCTGACAAGACTTTATGATGGAATGGATAGAGAATGAGGCAAGAAAGAAATAAGGGTAATTCTCAGATTTTGGAATTGAGAAGTGTTGCTATTTTCTGGAATGGGAAATGTGGGGTGATGGGCAGTTTAGGGTGTTTTGGTCATGTTTAGGTCAAGATGCCTAGTAGGCATTCGAGGTGAGATGTGAAGTTAGGCAGCTAGATGAATATGTATGTTTGGGGACTCTATGAAGATCTTGGGGCTAAAGATATATATTAGGGAATTACTGGCATATTGATGGTGTCCGAATGATGGACTTGATGAGATCATTTGTGCAGAATGTGTAGATAAGGAAGTAGACCCATGATGCAGTGCTGAGGTGGTTTAACATTTAGAAGTTGAGCAGAGGAGGATGGGTTGGCCAAGGAGACTTAGAGGAAGCTGCTGATGACACCAAAATGTGAAGTGGAGAAAGAGGGAGGAGAGAGAAGAGAGAGGGAGAGGAAGAGCGAGCGAGAGAGAGATCGTTTGTGTTGAAAGCTGCTAAGACATCAAGTGAATGAAAATATAATTTTGAGAAGAACAGTCCCTATTGGCTGGTGCTGCAAAGAGCTGGGTTAGGAAAAGTGAGGAAAAGTGGGACAGTGAGGGTGGGGACAGTGACTGCAGACAGGTGAGCACCAGGTGCTCTGCCAGGAGGGTATGTTCCAGGAGGATGCATCATCCTGTTTTCACTTTACCCAAGAACCTAACTTTTCTATGTATAAGAGAAAAGGCTGCTTTTATATGACGTACGAGCATTCTGCTGTTCTCCTTACTGTGTATAATAAATGTTAGAGCCAGCAAAATTCCTAAAACATAAGACATAATTTCACGAGCAGTTGTAATACTTATTATTCTTAGAAGCAATCTTGGATGTGTGCAAGACTGCCTAGACTATTGTAGGCACACCAAGAGTTACAGATGGGCAGTCTGGGGCAGAAAGGGTCACTTACCTCTGATGCTGGTATGGAGTAATGCTAAATTGCAGTTTCTATGAATATCCTGAGTGATCTAAGACTATTTCTGTGTCTCACTGGTGACTGAACACTTCTACCCAGGTGGCCCCTGCTTTTCCTGAGGTGTGGTTAGGATGCCTGATGTTGCTATAGCAATAACTGCATAACCATTGTGTACAATAATTTCTATTATGATCTAAATCACTAATTTACTGTGTACATTTAAATTGGTGGTAATAATAAAGGGAAAGTGTTAAGATTTTACAGTGTTTGAGTAATAATGCCCTTTACAAAACATGTAAAACTTTTGCAAATTTCTTATGAGACTCTACCCTTGCACACAGGTATCTTAAATGTTCAATATTGTTTGCTTGACTTCATCCACAGAGTGCATCTCCACTTGTATTTTACTACAGCATTGACAGAAGGGCATTTATTATGTCATCCAAATTCTTTCTTGTGGTAGTTTGGATTTGTTGGCAATTCTTGTGTGTCAAGTGATTATAATTTTCAGATTTATGGCCCGATTTCCTCGTGAGCATTCACATTGGCCCACCACTATTGGCCATGAATAAAGTGTGTGCACAGATAAATTCTCTTGCAAATAATCCTTCCAGGCAGTGCCAAATGTTTGATGTTTATCTAATACTTTGTATGGTTGGTTCAGTTTAACAAACATTTCCTCGAGACGTGAGATGACGCCAACACCTTGTGAGTCCAGGACTGAGAGCTGAGAGGCAGAAGCTGTAGCCGTGGTCTTGTCTGGGCCTGATGGAGCTCGAGGAACTGGTGACCAGAATGGGTGCAAGAAGTGGATAAAATGAAGGGTGATTGCTGGGTGTGGTGGTGCACTCCTGTAATCCCAGCATTCTGAGAGGCTGAGGCAGGAGGATCACCCACTCTGGGCAATTTCGCAACTTAGCAAGATAAAAAATTGCTGGGGATGTGGCGGAGTGCAAAGGCCCTGGGTTTAATTCTAGTTATTTACTTATTTTTTTTAAAAAAAAACCTTGATCTACGAATAAGCAAAAGCTAGAGAATGCAAGTGGAGGGGGAGGAAGTTACTGGTTCCTCCTGGTTGTGGAGAGGAGGACACTGTGGGCTAGGACCTGGGAGGAGGGCTCCGCAGGCTGCCACAGGGGAGGGGCCTGAAGCTTGGACTGGGCCCACTGGCAGGGGCGACATGCGGTGCCGAGTCTGTGCGCGCTTGGGTTGTGGCCAGGTGCTCAGGGGTGCCTGGGGCCGGTGGGGAGGCCTCCCCTAGGGCGAGGTGAAGAAACTGCTGGGTGAGGGGAGCGGGCCAAGGGGCCAGGCCTGGCTGGCTAGGGCTCAATGGAACCCTGGGCACAGTGTGAGGGGCAGGCCGGCGGCAGGACCAAGAGTTAAAAACGGGCTTCCCTTTGGTCTTGCGCTGCAACAAATGTTTGTGGGGGACTCAGTGTGCAGTGCTAGTCTGGGAAGACAAGGGTTCAGGAGAGAGAGGGGCGACAGGCGGTCTGTGCGAGAGAAGCACCCGGGCCTGCGGACCCTCCCGCAGCGACTGTGACCCAGAGCCCTGGGTGCCGCCACGCTCGCCCTGTCCGTTTAGAAAATTCTGTTTTCTTCATTCAGTGTTTTCCATTCATGAGGCTAGCGTATGGTATCATCACATTGTATTATCGTCAAGGAATATTTAATGGTGCAGGAAATACTCATTATATGACTTTAAAGTAGAAAAATGGCATATAAATCACATATACAATAAGATTTCAGTTTTATATAGGGGGCTCTGAGGGAGGGAGAGAGACAGAGGGAGAAACAGAGGGAGGGGAGAGACATGCAGAAAGAGTTGTTAAAATATTACTGGCAGTTCTCTCTGGGTCATGAGATCAGAAAGGTTTTTATTTCCTCCATCTAAGACTTCTAAAATACATTTATCGAGATGATTTATAATAAAAATATATTTTCCCTAAATATATCAGTTCACCTTTAATTTAACATGAGAGTTTTAATGAACGTGAAAACCCGGCCAGGCTTTTTCCTCTCAGCTGGAAACTCTCCAGCTCCTCTCTTCTTCTGGCCCCTGTGTATCCCGCTGGAGGAGCGGCTTCAGCACCTCAGTTCACCGAGGAGCAAGGTCCTCGCTGCAGGAGGAGGACAAATGCGTTTCATCTTTGTGTTCTGCATTCGTGTCACTGGACACAAGCCAGAGCTTTGGAGATTTGTGTCTTTGCTGTTCATATCTATATGGCTGTCAATTTCCCTTCCAGGGCCCTTTCAGTTTGTTTTATTTGTTATTATCGATTGTATTCTTCTTTTCTGGTGGAATGCTGGTTCCAAAAACACAGCTGCGAACTGTAGCTGAATGTGAGCATTAGGCCTGTGTTCCTGGGCCATCCATAGGGTTCTCTGTGTAAGCAAGTGCAACATTTGGATGTGAATATGCCATCCACAGAGTCACTGGATACAAGTCATCATGGTAGTCTGCCTAGGCCAGTGTCGGACAATGACCGTTGGCTTCTAAGGTAATTTCAGAAATGAATGTCAAACATGCCTATTTTCCCTTCCTCCCTCTCTCCTTCTATCCCTCCCTCCTTCCCTCTCCCTCCTCCCTTCATTCCTTCCTCACCTCAGTGCATCTTCTTAGCTCCCGTGATGCCCCTCAATGCCCCTTTACCCATCACAGCCCTCACCTGGTGCATCTTGGTGGTTGGTGGTGTGTTTGTCTCTCTCATTGGACCATTGGCAGTTTGGAAACAGCCTACTTCTCATCCAAATCTCACTCTTATCACTCGGCTAACACTGCGTCCTACATGTAGTTGTTCCCCAACACATGTTAAAACATTTTGCATTTGGTAAGGGGTGATTTCATAACTGTAGCAATATGGAGTCTTACTGTGTAAAGTGTGTTAAATCATTGTGCTCTGAGAAACACACTTCTAGTACAGAAATAGAGGGGACTTTAAGACAAAAGATCAAAACATACTTTCTAGACTGTAGGGGTAATCAAATGCTTAATAGATTACCAGGGAATGAGGTAAAATCCTCATCCCTGGAGAGCCTTAAAAATTGGACAGCGAAAACATCTGTGAGGAAGGCTGAAGCGTTAGACCTGTCTTGAGGCAAGCTGACAGACAGAATGACAAATGGTCCTGTGATTCTTTGATTACTTGCCCTGGAGAAGAGTAGGCTGAGGGGAGACATTAAAACTACTTCAAATATGGAAAGCAGTGATTATTGCTTTCTAAACTCTCTAAAGAGAGTTGCAGGGGCTTAAACTAAAGTCTTAGAGATTTATTTTATATTTTATAGATAAGTATTTGCAGTCATAGGTTGTGAAAATCTTGTAGAAATCTGCAAAATAAATGAGATTTTTTTGGTATGATGTGGACACTCAGTTCCCTGATTCTGTTGCAAAAAGCATTTTTTAAATACCACTCTGAATATAAAGAACGTAGGGTGTGCAGCATCCTCTTGGGAAGGGGAAATGTCTGAAAGTAATATTTTAAAGCAGCATGCGTCATTGCTAGTCTGTGGCCAGGGAGAGGGCACTGAGATGCTGGCTGTCGACTCCCCATCTTAGCCCCAGTACAGGGTATGATGTTAATTCTATAGCCACAGGGTGAACAGGGCTCCACCAAAAATCTGCTCTGCTGGGTCAGCCTTGTTTTGCTCCTGAAACATTTTCACAGTGAAAATATAGAAGAACTGGGGGGCGGGGGCTAGGGGCTCCCCAAATCCTTTCACTATAAGAGGAATTTAAATACTACTGAAAAATAGCCTTTAGGTTTTCTGCTGTAATTTCACGGTGCAGCCACACGATGTCACAATTGGATTTCAATTTTTCACTGTGTGTCTCCAATAATAGATGAAGGCATTTTCAAAGCTGGAGCAGAGAGGTCTGAAATGTGGGGAGCAGCAGAAGTCCAGGAAGATGAAGAGACTCAGGTTGAGGTTCCAGTCGACCAGGTAATCTCCGTGCCATTGAACATACGCATGAAAGCCAATGATTGCTGGTTGTCTTTCAAGTTTTGTGTGACCTGCCACATGCTGTTAAACCCTCTGAGGTGCCAGGCCACTGAATGACCTTAAACATGTAACAAAATACCCTGCAGTTCTTCCTCCTATTCTTACAAAAACCAGCCATTGGAACACAGTCTATTTTTTTTTTTAGTGCAAAAGGTGGCCTATCTTTGATAAACTGCATTGAAGAGCAAGATGTGATGGAGTTAGGTGTGAAATGCAAAAGAGAAAGTTGATGCAAAAAGGCACATTGGCTTGAAGTTTTTATCTATAAAAAATGTCTTTCTCTTAGAAAAGCATTTAACAAATGATATCATATTCTCTCCTTTAGGGTAGTTGAAAATGTTGTTGGAATTTGTTTTTCACACAAGAATTGCTTATGTAAATGCAACTCAAATGTTTGCTAGATGTATATTGATTTTCTTAGCTCAGTGGGACAGTGTACTTCCTTTTTTTCAATAGTAGGGGTTGGACCCAGAGCCCTCACGCTGAACTACATCCCCAGCCCTTTTTATATTTTATTTTATTTTTTTAAATTTAATTTTATTATTTTTTAAAAATAAAATGTAATACTACTCAGCCATAAAAAATGAGAAATTAGAGATATTTATAGATAAATGGATGCACATTGAGGTGATATTTTATTTTGAGACAGGATCACACTAAGTCACTAATTTGCCCAGGCTGGACTCCTATTTGCTACCTTCCTGCCTCAGCCTCTCAGAGTGCTGGGACTGTGGGCATGTATTACCACGCCTAGCTGGAACTTTGTACTTTTGGGAGTGGGTATGTGTGTTCATGTTTGTGTATTATATATATACTTATAGAAGGAATTAAGTAGCTTTCATTATGGTTAAATGATGGAAAAAGTAAGTCATTTCTACTTCTTACCACAATTCAACGAGCTTTCTTACACTTCTAGATGGAAGATTGGAATTTAGGTGAGGAAGGGGAAATGACAATCCCAGACTCAGAGGAATGGGGAGAAGTCACTGAGAATTGCCACTTGTCCTCTGACTATTATGTGATATTTCCTTTTCTAAAAGCAAATTTCACAATCCAACAAATTCCTTGATGATCTTCTCAACTGTATTTGTCTTAGCAGGGTAGCAGTGAGATGTGTGCTTGATTATTCCGCAGGTATTTTCTGCAAGCATTGCCCTCTTGGTGAAAAACCTAATGTGCTAAAAATCACAGATTTAAAAAATCCAATTTATTTTGTAGGATTTGCTATAACTAATAGTTTTTCATAAACTCTAGTTATTAGGTATTTTTTTCCCCTGTGAGAAAACAGAATTTTAAGTCTTCTGTGAAGTTATAATTAAATATTATGTTTTAAGACAAAGAAGGAAAATCATCAAATATATGCAACACTTAATAGCTGTTAAAAACAAGACTCATTTATATTCCAAAGTCAAGATACCAAGAGAGAATCATAGTATTATCAGTAAAAGAGAAATCTCTCTGTTAATCATTTAGTAAACAACTTGCAAAATCCGTGAGAGGTATTTGTTTGCTTATAAACTTGCTGATTACAGGAACTGAGAGTCGGGAGAACTGACCTCTGACAATCCTTGCACAGCCTTGGATGTGTGTGTGTCTGCAGAGCGTGGTTCTTACTTGGCTTGTGAGTGAGAGCTTGTTGCAAGGATGCAAAGAAGACTGAGAAATGAATTGGCTAAAGCAATACCAACACATTGATGTCAGATTGAGGGAAATAAAGCTGGGTAACAAAAGACCAGAGTTACTTCCCTTCCTGACTCTGTTGGTCATAGTGCTGGGATTGTCTGCTTCACTTGGTGGGGAAGGTGCTTAGAAAGTCCCGTTTCAGAGCCATTCTCTCTGGGGTCCATCCCAAGCAATTGTGTTATAAGTATTGTGAAAAGTAAGTGAGCATGTGAGGAAACTAACTTAAATCCCATTAACTTCATGCTAGTAAAATCAGTTCTGCAGGCCTGGCCCAATGGTGATCAAACACTAGATAGGGTTTGTTCAGAGCCTCCTGAGTGCTGGGTGCCGTACCAGGCATCATCTCATGTGACTATGGTGACAACCCTGTCAGATAGGTCTTACTATTCCCATTTGACATTTGTGCATAGGTGTATATTTACATGTCAAGAAAGTAAATTCATAGAAGTGAATTATCTTGCCTAGTTTGTATCGCTGGGTAGGGGAATTGGGACTGGAGTGTGGGTCTGTTTAACTTCAAAGTAGAAGTTATCTGGGGGAAAATAATTGAATGAAATAAAATAAAAACCAGGAAAGGAAATGTAAGTCCTTCAGACCACTTGGCTCAGCTATTATACCATTTACATGAGCATTCTCTCAGGATATTAGCTACTTAACTTCCTTGGGCTGGTTTCCTGTCATCCTAAAGTTCTATACACATTGTGATTTTAGTGAAAAGGGCATGAAGAAGGACTTCTGTGTGTGTGTGTGTGTGTACATAAATTGGCTGAGCAATGGACCCATTGCCGAAAAGCAGATGCAGCTTTATAAGTAGGCACTGAGACGAATGCTGGACCATCTTCCATGGGCTGCTTGTGTCTCTGCAGCTCTTGAGGGTAGAACACTCACTTCCTGGCTTGTCCCAAACTGTCTTTTCAAGGATGCGCCTAGAGTGAACAGCCTTGGAGGTCAGAGATAGGACTTCTCTGGAATAACCACTTTCCCCTAGAGGAGATTCTATCGCCACAGGGATAGTTGCCTTCCTGGGTGGCAGTGCTACTGGATGGCACTAATGGGTAGTGGTCAAGGATGCTGCTAATTGTATGATAGTGCTTACAACCATCCTCACAACATAAAATTACCCAGCTCAAAATGTCAACAGTGATGAGATTGAGAAACCCTATTTTGGAGAAAAGGTCAGATTTGTTTGTTGTCCAATAAGCTGGACAGTATAACCATTAATATAACCAACAATCAGCAATACAACCTAAAGATAATGTCTCCCTATGGTGCAAAGGTTGGGCCGATTTACTACCCATTATGAAGAATTTGATTATTGACTTACAATTAAGACTGGGTAGGGCAGTAAACTTTATGTTAAATATATTTGTCCATAATAAAAATATTAAAAGAAAAAGATTTGGGTTTCTCAAGTTTACAGTTCTTTTTTTTCTGACATGCAAACCACTGTGCTTATCAACCTAACCCTTCTTATTGCCTTGTAGAAAATGGGACCCTGGGCACAAGTGCTGATATTCTGGCTACTAATGCTGCCAGCACCATGGACATTGCTGGGACCAAGAAAGTTTATTTCTTCTTTTTTGTTAGTTGGAGGTTGAGTTATATACTATTTTCTTACTTCTTTAGTTAAAATTTATTTTCTAATCAAAGTTATATACACACCATTTAAAAAAGTCAACCAGTTCAACATACATTATAACAAAAATCACAACCAGTACCATGCCTCCCCGCCTGTTTCTGTTCTTCAGAGGTAACTGATTTGTCCTAGGTTAACTTTCTTATGGAACAATGCATTGCTGTATTGCTAAGACATATACTACCTCCTCACTTTCATACCTCTGAGATTCTTAAGTCTTACAAGTGATGGCATTTTATAGTTTAACAGGCACTTTAAAATGCTTTTGTTTTTAAACATACAAAAAATAATGGAGATTCTTTTAATTGGTGTCATTTAAATTTGATGAAATAAATCTCTTGTTTTTATTTTTCAAATTTAGATACTATTTATTATCTTTCTATCTCATGACTATAGAAGATGTCTTTTATTACCTCTCACCCACTAATCAAAAATAAGGTCACATATATGCAAACCAATACACATGGTTTCCTCTTCTTTCTTCCCACTAAGAGTAATTACTTTAGAGTAATTTTTGCCTAATTTAATATTTAATCAATGCAGTATTCTCACTATTTATTATTCCTAGCTGAACCATTCAATGTACTTGTTACATTTTCTTTATTGTGTAACCATATTTTCCCCTCCTCTTTAATTTAGTAATTGTCTCCTTTTTTCACTTGCTTATTTTCTGTGTTTCTATTACAAGGCCACCTCCAGATTGCATCAGAACTGTTCATCTCCTCCCCATACATTTAACACATCCAGTGGTGATGGAATCTTACAGGAACCTTTTTTCTAAGATGATTAGCTGTTCTCTTGATCTGCTTTTTCCAGAGTTGGACTGTATTTTCTTTTATCCTTATTTTGGGAATTTCCTTGCTTCTCCAGTGGATGAAATCCCTTTTGTTTAGGTTTCATGTCTTCCTCTTTTTTTGTTATGTCTTCATTGTTATAGAACTCTGCTTTTGTGGCTTTGGGAGAAAAGCTTCATGGGAGGCACTTTTAATTTTTTTGGTGAGACTTCATGTCTGAAAATGTCCTTTCTTCTCTACTTATCCACTCAAACTTGAACATAAGTATGGCTAGGTGTAACATTTTTAGATTCAACATGTTTTCTCCCAGCATTTTGAAGGCATTGCTCCATCTTTCTTCCCATTTGGAAAGGCAGGTGAGAAGTTTGATATTAATATTTGATATCAATATAATGACCTTCATCATTGGAAATTTATATCCTTTATATAATCTCCCTTGGTTCTTATTTTTTCCCCATTCCCCTGCCCTCCCTTCAACAACTCCATCATTCCCTATTTACAAAGACTTTGTTTCCATTTTTTCATTTTCTCATATTAATTTCATTCTCCTCTTTCCTTTCCCCTACTCCTCCCACTTCCCCTTCTGGTTTGCCCCTTTTCTTCATATGTCACATTATCTATTATACCTTTTAGTCCTTATTTACACTTTCAGTTTCTCACACTAGAGAAACTATTTGGTATTTACATGTGTGTCCTATTTATTTCACTGAAGAGTATTGCCTCAATGTGCATCCATTTAGCTATAAATGCCTCTAATGTCTCA